ATATTTGTTATATAGAAAATTGTTATAATTAGTGATATTACAAGCATTTTCTTTATTAAATAAGTAAAATTTAAGCATAAATACATCCCTATTAAATGAATGTGATATAAGTTATTCTAACTATATAAAAGTACTCTTTTGTGTTGCTCTGAATTCTAAATATGTTCTTTTTTTGTATTTTTTGAGCTATGTCACCTTTGACAGAATAGATCAAGGGGATAGATAACTATTTTGTTAGGACTGCTTTTTGACAGTTTTTGAAAATTGGCCATGGCTATATTGACCATATACTATACAATTCTCGCATAATGGTGTGTGCTGTTTAAATCCTTGCATTATAGTTGTCATGTCACTGCCTGATTTGGGTAAGCTGCCCTATAATTTCTGCTTGTTCTTAAAGGTAAAAGAAATCCTGTAAAGTATGCCAAAAGTCCTTCTCTTTTATGTGATATAAGAACTTTTGAGTTGTTTTAAAAACATTTTACAGAAAACAAAGACACTTAGTCATTTCAGTTCAAGCCAGTTCTGCATATTTATTAACTTTTAAAGAAAATACAGAATTGTATGATTTGTGATAATGTTGTAATTTCATTATGAAAATTGGATAAGGTACTAATCCTCTGCAATCCTAGTATGTTTGCCTATGTATTTGTATGTAGAGGCAGGGGATAGTTGGGGCATCATCTTCCTTTAAGGAGAAAAATAATATTCTCTAGTTTCCTTCTGAATATGATTTTTTGGTTTATTCAGAAGTGATTCATAGGTTCTAATTTAGAAAGTCCTTCCCCACCTTTATATCAAAACCTAAAATGTGGTGTAGATAGTGGCCTGCTTCAGACATTTAATAAAATTGTAGTACATGTAGTAATATACTATAAAACTATTCGTATTTTCCATTTTAGGGTGTTTTGGATGATGGTATTCAAAATGTAGAGGCATTGTCCTCTTATGCTGCCTTTCTCTTAGTAATAGCTTCTCCTTTAAAGTTACAGGGAATGTTCTAAAAACAATTCTTACCATGTATTCCGTAATTTCAGTATTTTGTTAAGTACTATGGTAGTTAAAATTCAGTTTCTGAAATTTCTATCCATGTGTTAGGTAACACTGCCCTCAGAGGGCCAAGGTAAGTAAATTCATTTTTAACATTTAGATGGAGCATTTCTGGTATTTGCCTGATTGGTAAGTTCTCATAATTGTAACAGGTGAAGAAAAACAAACATGCTGAGCAGTTTGATTTTATTTTCTTTCTTTTTTGCAGAAACATTGTTATTCTTGCTCATTTGTATCTCAATCTGTGACAAAATGCTTAAGCACAAAAACCAACTCACACCAATGTCAAAGCATATGAACTGCCACATAACTTGCTCCATCAGAGCATTTTGAAAAAAAAAATGCCTACAGAGAAATCCTTGGAGTAGTTTGTGGTGATACTTTGCTTCTATTTCCCTTGTGTCTGTTTGGCAGCTAGCTGTCTTCCCCATATTGAAATAATTTAAAACCTTACTATTTGATGACTGTTTTTTGTGTGCTAAAATATATTGAAACTTATATTCTATTTCCTTACAGTATTAGTACATTGTATCTTTTCAAATATGGTATAATTCTTTTGGAAAAAAAATACTTGATGTGGAAAAACTCTTATTTCATAATACTTAAAATAACCAATGTTGTTATTAATTGACATGTCTAGGAATTCAAAGCATTCAAAATTATTAACTGATAGTTAATCAGCATAGTAACAGAATAGGATAAAAAAAAGAGAATTGCCAAATTTAGATTTTATACCAGAGGTCACCAATATATTTTTTTTCCCTCACTAAGAAGATCATTTAATTTTTTTTATTCATTCATTTAACAGCTCCTGAAATAATATGTTGAAAAAGGACTTTAAAAGGTGGTTATTTATGTATGTTAATGAAGTATTTACTAGTATATCAAAATGCATTCTTGATTTTTATGCTTTTCTAGAATTGCTTGGTATTACATCTTTTAAAAGTTTGATTTTTAAAAAAATAAAATAAAATAATACATGCCTTATCTTATGATGATAGATGATGAGGGTAGCAGAGATAAACATAAAGAAAATCCCATATCAAAATCCCTGCTCCCATTTTAGCCAAAATATATAGGCCTCAGTTACCCACATGATACTCGTATGGAATAAAGATAAACCAGATAAATGAAAAGAAAGGTAATTATTAAATATCCATTATGCAAATAATTAGGACCATGGGTAGGGTTAAGCTAGGGTTAAGCAGGTAGGCAGCCATTTAGGGTGTTGTACATAAGGGGAATGCGACAAGGGCGGCTTTTAAATATGTATTAATGAATATGTTTATAATATACACTTTTAATTCTGTGTGAACACATTGAGAATTCTCTGAAGAAATCATAGATTCTTCTCATTCATATATATTTTAACGCCAAAAAATTCTACTTCCATTGTGTCTAATTGTTTGTTTTGTGATTTGGTTGTGCATTTTATATGCAAGTCTCAAAGCCACTAAAGTCTATAGTGCAATATAATATAGTCTATAGGGCAGTGGTCTATAAGGGAGCATTTTTTCAAACTTTGTCCAGGGTACACAAAATATCTTTCAACTCTGGTAATGATTTCTTCTTTGCTTAATATGGTGCCTTGTATGTAGATAATCAACAAAATTTGATTGATTCATAGTTTTCCCTTAGTCACACTTTTTAAAGGAATGGTTAACCTGCCAATGTTTACTTGTGTTTCAACTTTCCCTTTCCTGATTTCATCCTATGATGAAAGTTTTTAAGAAATAAGTAAATAGTTCAAAAGCATGAGAACAAAGGAGACTCAAAAGGCCCAAATAATCCAAAACAGACTTAGAATAATTGGGTGTTTGAGCCTTGGGTTCCACACTACGAGACTGTGTATATTATAGGTGATATTCTATTAACCATTTTTTTAAATCAGTGTTTATTGTGATGAAATTCCATTAGACAATGAGTTTTACCTTATAGGAAGTCTCTTTAAAGTGAGGCTTCTCTACGCTTTCTCCAGATATTTCCTATGAAATAAGTGGTGTTATTATTATTATTTATAACAGTGGTAAAAGTTCATGTTTTCCTATAGATTCATAATTATTCTGCAATTTTATTTGTTATCTCTACCCTTTATATTTAATTTAATCAAGGGTATAATTGTTATAAAATTTTTTGTTTGCAGTATTATGAAGCTTGCATTCTCTCAACCTTAGAGTACCTATATAGGAGTTTTATTACATTGTTTTAATTCTTTTTTAAATACTGGAGCCAAAATGAAAATATCTTTAAACAATAAGGAAACTTTAAAACATATCTGAAGCGTATATCTTTTCATAGAATACCATTGTTTTGAAAGAACTTCAAAATCTGTGACTAAAGTTATTTTGTTAAAATGATTCATGAGTTACTTTGTGTTCTTCAATATATTGTATAAAATTAGAGACCTCTTTCTACAATACAATAAGCAGATTAAAAAGAAAGCATTGCTTTCACAATCTAGAAGGGTGTAAATGTAAGCAAAATAATAATTTAGCTTACATTTAACCCAGCAGGAAGCTGGGTACAGATTGAGTAATTCTCCACAGCACATCTACTGCTATATAAACTAACCTCACAGTTTATTCTTCATTAAATTGCCAAGATGTTATTTTTTTGTTGGTTTGTGTGGACCCTTTGTATCTTACCTACAAACAAAATTATTATAAAATATTCCTTTCCTTTGGCTGTAAAACTTGATATTCGGATTCCTTCATGAAGATCATGTGTTGAGGCCAAAGTATATTTTCTGTAAAATTTGAACCAGTTTCCTGTTTACTATGAACACATTTCAAAGATTTTTAAAATGATATTATTTGAAATGAGCTGTCTATCAAACCAGGAGAAAAATTAAAAACCGATTAAATACTGGCTTATCAACCATCCTGGGATCTCACAGAAGTTGGCATTCAAGCATCTTTGATAGTTGGTATATAGGTATTTTTCTCATTATGGTTGCTTCAGCTTCAAAGGAAAGCTTGGACCTTGGTCTCCTTTAGGCAGTAGATACTGAAAAGTATGCTTAATATAAAAATGGCAAGTTCATGCATTATGCAGTGGAAGCATGGTTTCTAGACTATAATGCAGCTTTTCAAAATAAGCATGAAGGAGCATATGTGGCAAAGCCGAGGAATGTGGGTGCATCTGGAAAGCTTTTAAGGCGCCTTGGAAGCACAGCACAGACTTCACCCAGACCGTCAGCAAGTTCCATCTGGCCAGTAGCATTGGTGACACTGACCAGTACAAGAACAGACAAATCCTTCAGGAACTGCCTGCTACAGCTAGATAATCTGTGAGTGAAATCATTGCAAAAAGGAAAAGTGGAAGGTTTGAGATTTGACCTCATCAATCAGTATCTTCAGAAAACCATTAGAGAAAAAGACAAGCATGTTGAAAAACATTTGCAGTAACTTAAAAACTTGGAGTAACTATCTTAGAATGTTTTTCAAAGGAAACTTCATTGGTCTTACACTGTGGAATCAACATTGGAACAAAGCTCAGCTCTTTTCATAAAATATCAAGGAATCAGTGGGAGATCTGGAATTTTGTTCTATTTTGTTTTGAATGGTAAACACATCTAATCAAGTCAGCAAAATATTCGTTGAGTATCTTCTATGTACTGGGTTTTTCAGTGGGGTATATACAAACAAGTGTAACATGCAGTACATGCTCTCAGCACAGCCCATTGAACTTGGTCACCAGAATGGATTGGATGAAGAAATGAGTAAAGTGTCTATTCATATTGATTCTGAAATGTCATTGCTCAAATCATCTAGAATCCATCTTTCTCAGTACCAAAGTCAAAATTTTAAATAGTATTGAAAATGGTCTTTGTTTTTTGACTCATTCATAATTTCTATGCTCATGAGATATGTTGGAGTATTGGATGAGCATTAATATTAAGATGAATGACAAGGGAGTGAGGTGCTAATGCTTTGTTGCATGTTTTGCAGCCATCAAGCATTTTTTGGAAGAGATATCGACATCACTGCTCAAAGATGAATGATGACAACTGGCCAGTGAATTGTGTTCCACAGACATCACTACAGAATTGAAAGCTCTCAATTTGCTACTGCAGGGAAAAGGAAAAAAAAAATGAATGGACTTGCTTAAGAAATGAATGACAACCTGCTAAAATTTAGTTTCAGAGGAAAAAAACTTGAAAACACTAAATATTGAACATTTAATATTTGGAAAGAACTTCATTTTAAATATAATTTCAAATATAACTTGACCATTACATTTTTGAAATGTCCCATTTTTTAAAAAAACAATTCAAACTGTTTGCTATAATTCTTAAAATGTGCATTTCCCCAAAGATACTTATCAAATAGGATGGTGAAGTCATTGAGAGAAGTGTACCTTCTTTTACCTGGCTGGACATTGATACACTTTTGCTGGACATGATTGAATTTTAGACTTATGGTCATTGTAAAACTCTACAAGCAAAGTCAGATTGTTAGTGTTTTTATACATTGACACTAAATGTTAATCCTATCAGACTACCGATGTATTTTTCAGTTGCTAGATTATTTTCTTATTTCATATGATATCGAGGTGTGCCATGAAAATTAAGTTTTTGTTCACAGTGATGATACTTATTTATGAATCTTTTGCAAGAATAGGAACTTAATTCTACAGTGTTGTGTAGATAGTTTCTGTGTGTGCTTATCAGTTACCTCTAGACTTTCACTATGTCATGAAACATGCAAATGAATTTTTCACTGAGAGTAATAGGCCATATCAAGCAATAGCACACTCAGCTTTATCTTTTATTTGTGTAATTTTCCAAAACTTTTCTTAAAATAGCTTTTATTTTTATTTGCTAGATGTTTTATTTGTGCTTTTTGATTAAAGCAGATTCTTGAACTGCCTGGATTTTTATTGATGCTATATGCTTGCATGTATTATTTAATAATTAAATAATCATTCAGGTAGATCTGTATACTTTGTACTCCTTTTCTGGTAGATCATTTATTGTCTTAATATCCTATCTCCATGAAAGCACGAAATATAACTTATGTAAAAGTAAACAAATTCTGAAAGCACAACATGATTCAAATCACTCTACTTTTTTGCAGTTGGCCTTTTTCATGCCAGGTATTTGTCCTATGTATCTACCATTGGATAAAAAGCCACATTAACTGACAAGATGACCCTCAGATTGAATGAAGTTGTCTTTTTATTGAAATACTGATGAAAAAGTACCATAGTAATTTATGAAAATAATTTAAAAGTTTAGTAGATGGAAGGAAAACATAGTTTAATTTTGAAAAGATTTTTTTAAAAAATGGATCTTGCATTGATCCTGGCAGTGGATTCTAACAAAGAGGAGGCACCATTTGTTTTTCCCTTATATTTAAATTTCCTTCCCTCCTCCGTCTTCCTTTTTTCTCTTAATCTCATGTTTGGCTCCATTTCTTACGGCAAGTAGAACTTGAGCTCTTTTTTAGCCCTGACAGTAATGGTCATCTCTTTGCTTCTTATTAGCCCTTCATTGTCTGCAAGCAGTATATTCTTCCTGAGATAAACATTTGACTATGAATGTCATTTGCTTGAATTCCAGTGAACACACAAGGATTAAGATGAAGAGACTTTGAATTTGTGTGTGGTAATTTAAACCAAATATGAAAAAATGTAGTGAGATCATTTTTATGAAACTGAAACTTTTTAACATATCCTTTATGAAAGTTCAGAATTTAGAACAACATTGAAATTCTGATGAGCAGGAGGAATACTTTTAATCTATTATTAGTACAGTGTAAACCTTCTTCCTCACCTGCTACAGAGTATTTGCTTTTACTAACTCAAGAGAATCTTTATCATAATAAACATGAATAGTCATTGATATTTTTAGTACCTATTGTAGCCAGTATCAGTCAGTAAACATTTATTAAGCACATTCTGTGTGTCAGGCAGTATGCACACAGTGCATATGTGACTTTGGGGAAAATACTGAGGTTGACAATGTGAGACATAAGTTGCTACAGATACACTAAAACTGAGAGGGTGGTATAGTTAGAAGAGGGATTGGACTTGGAGTTAGAAGAACTCAATTTTAATCCTTTTTCATAACTTCTACAGGCCTGTTCTCATCTGTAAAATGGGGTTTATATATTAACCTAGCTACCTTATAAGCCTGAGAGGATCGAGTGAAACAATGTTTTAAGAACTTTGTAAACACAAAGCTCTGAAAATGCTTAGAAGTTGTTATTATTGTTAACCAGTGGAAAGCTACCAGTCTCCTTTGCCAGGTTCTAATGAAGGAGATAATTATATTCTAAATCTCATCCTTTTTGCTAACACTTTCCAGAATTCTTTGTAATAAAAATGTTGGAATTCATCCTGTGCACCCAAATCAGGCTGGTTGCAGTCTATGCCTTTGCCTCGTCAGGTTCAGATAATGGAGTAGTATACAGATAATTTATTCAAGTGAGGTTTGCTTCAAGGATTTCTTTGCTGACTTTCACAGAAAAGTTAATTACAGTGACCCAGCACAATAAAATTATGCCTTTTATTGTGAGATTATAGGACTATACAAATGCCAGATTTTTTTCTAGGCTTTTAGACAGATTTTTTTTAATCAACAAATGTTCAAAAGTTATACTTTTTCCTAATGACATGGTTCTATCAACTCCTAGCAAACTTGAAGAACAAAGACTTTTTTAAATGATAGAAATACATTCAAGAAATGTACATGACTAATGTTGTAGGTAAAGAGGCTAACTATTCATGTTTAATAGTAAATGTAAGGCCTTGAGTAAAACTTTTAATCAAACATATATAAAAAATCAGTTAGCACAACATATGACATATTAATTTATTGCTAGAATAAGTCACAGAAATGTTTCTAAAGCAGCTATTCTCTACAATTTTTACTCAATATGAGATCTAACACTATTGCACCACAACCGTATTTTAAGTATCACATATTTTTATTAACTTCCCATCAACTCTTAGATTCTAAAATTGTGGCAAGAGCCCAAAAGGTTGATTTTAACAACAGCAGCAAACAAAAACCCTTCACTTTTTTGTCATCCCTAATTTTGTATCAGTCAGTTAATAATCATATATTAAGCTCCTATTATGTACCATTCTCCCTATGCAAAATAGCTCTTGACATAAGAAGCCAAATAGAAAGTACATATTTGGGCCAGTCAAGTATTAAATATTATTCAGAACATAGAACATAATTACTGAAAGCAAGAACTGTTCAGTGGTGATGTCTGGATTGCTTGTGCTCCTTGAAAAAGTGGGGAGGGGTCAAGGACTACAATAATAGATGTGCAGAGAAGAATAATGAAATACACTGTTTTATTTGCCATTTCCTTCAGGACACCTCTCACAGGGAGGACCTTCTGATCTCATTTATGCATTCCGCTCTTAGTCTGTATGAGTTACATTTTTAAATTTCTTAATGCATTTGGAAAAATAATATATATGTTATGAAAGTAAAAACTACTTTTTCGTTTCCTTGGCTTAACTTATTATAAAAAACACAATATGCTCATACTTTGCAATCTGTTTTTCTAGGTGGGTAATATCATATGTTGAAGTTTCTAATATTTCAGTAATTAAATGGAGCTGTATTATTGGTGGGAACATTTCCTTTCACATTTTGGAAAATTTTTTATAAAATAATTTAAATTAAATTTATATTTAACAATACTATTGTGGGTCTTCCTTAGCATAATTTATTTAACGTCTTTCGTGAATATAGGGTACTATTATTTAACTTATACTACAACCAGGCCTACAAGTATTGCATTTTTTTCCTGAATGTATGATGATTGGTTAATAAAAACCTTTTTTTCTTTCAACCTTTCCTTTTGTAAAGTGTTTCTAAAATATTTAGTTCATTTTCCTGCCTTAGGAAATCAGAGCGTACTGAATATAAATTCAGTCTCTCATTGATTGTTGAGTATCTCAAAATGTTTAAGATAATTTTCCTAAACACTTAATTTCCATTGTACTATAGATAAGGAAATTGGTGTGCTTTCTTACTGACCCAAGGATATTGCTTTTTAAACAATCCCTTCTATTATTTACTTATGATTTATCTATTTTGATAAAATTATAATCTAAGATTTATATTGAAATTTTTGTGAGTTGTCTTTTATATAATCAGGATTTGATATTAATTAGTGTATAATTATGTATGTGACACTACTTTATAATAATATAGATTTATACTCTTCTGTTCATGGAATTGGTTAAATTTTAATAGGGGTGTGATTTTATTATCTTTGTTCTTGGCACAGGGGATTGATCTGTGTCTCTTTTAACTGGGTCCTTGAAAATGGAAAATTTAAGAAGGCAAGGAATTGTCACTATTTCACCTTTTCACTAGAGGGGACTATTGTCATCTTTTATGTCCTTTCCTGTCATATGCTACATTCAGTTTCTTTGATTGCTGTAAGTTTGTACTTCAGTTAGATTTGGACATTTAAGGACAAGACCGTGGGGCATAGCTAAGCTCTAAAATGGAATCAAATTGTGACCAGCATTGTCATGGACTATAGACTGAAGGTATATTACTTAGCCATAGTAAACTATTTAAAACTTTAAGCTGTCTTATTTAGTCCACAGTAATAAATTCCTAGCCCTTGACACGACACTGTAAAGATAATTAATTTTCATAAATACCTAACAACGTATTAACATGTGGCATGTTGTCTATTGTATGTGTTTGATATAACAAATTAACAAAATCAAAACATGATTTGAAATTAGATAGCCATTAGAAAATCAATTCCATTAAAAGAGCAGGCTTGATAGGCAGAAATAGTATTGTTCAGCAGAAAAAAAACTAGAAACATAACTTAATGCTTTTCATTAGAATATTGGGAAAGCTAGGTGGTGCAGTGAATAGAGGGCTGGGTCTGGAGTCAGGAAGACCTGAATTTACATACAGCCTCAGACACTTATTGATTATGTGGTACTGGACAAGTCACTTAACACTGTTTGTCTCAATTTTCTCATCTGTAAAATGAGCTGGAGAAGAAAATAGCAAACCACTCCAGTATCTTTGCCAAGAAAACCCCAAATGGGGTCACAAAGAGTTGGACACAAGAGAACAACAAAAATGATGTGTTGAGGACACAACATGAAATTAATGAGAATCTTGGGTATATCAAAGAGGTTTTCTGTAAAGGCAAGAAACTAATGAAAGGGGTGCAGTCTTTAATCAGTGTAACTATGTAGCGCTGTTAAAAGGCCCCTTAGGGGCCTTTTGTATCATTCAAAAAGGTCATGCCAAATAAATTTTTGGCAACTGTTTTGGGAAGGTGCATGTAATTAGGCATCAAGGGTCATGTTTTATTGTGAAAGAAACATAATGTATAGTTGGTTATAGTGTTATATAACACTTTTCTGAAATCAACATCGTTGTTGGGAAAGGAATTTGCTTATAGCACCTTGTAATAATTCATTTCAAAGCCAGTTTACTAATTACTCATCCACAGGAAACCTTTAAAATGACTTATAATAAAAAATTGCCAAAGAAATCAGATCAGTTTCAACCCAAGCAGTCTAAGGGATTTAAAAAATAAAAGAGTTTATGCGTCTACATATTTTATGTTTTACATAACACTCCAAATTCCCTAATGGGATACTATGCCACTTGTGGATGATCTAAGTATCTTTATAGAGTGCTGAGGATTTCTCCTTTCACATACAGATGATGCTCTTGCAATATGTTATTACATTTGCTTATACCAGAAAATTTCTTAGTTACTGGGTAGAGACTGAATTGGCTCTTGGAAAAAGTTTTTGGTTTTTTTTGTTTTGTTTTGTTTTGTTTTGTTTTTGGCAGCGCTTCAAGATCAAGGGGTCAGCAATATTGTTGAAGACCATGCCAAGGGCTGTTGTCCTGAAAACACAATCAATATAGTTGTAAAGGCAGAGTGACTGCCCTGCATGGTTCAGGACAGAGGTGATCACTTCCTAAGCAAAACAAATACAGTTTGCCCTCATATTGGGGGCCTGAGATTTGAGAGAGAAAATAAAGAAGGCCACTTAAGGATAATTACTCTATAGTGGTAAGAATGTATAGTGGAAGCAGAGAAAATAGGACTAGATCCCCAGAGTTTGTGTACTTTCACATTTGGATTGGCTGCAGATGATAATGTAATTGTTTAACATTAGCATAAAAATCATATTCTGAATTTTTTGTGGTAAAACATCAGAAGAATCTCTCCCTTCCCCATGTGTCCAGATATTCTCTGCGGTAAATGTAGTAGGCACTTAAATTTTGGTGCTACACTTGTACATTCTCGCCATGTCTTCTTTCAGAAATTAATTAATGTTGTAAGGGAAAGGTGGCTGCAAAAATAAAAAATAAATAAATGTGCTTAGGAGCTTTCATCAGAGGAAAAAAAACTTGAAGCCACAAATTAATATGGTAGTAGGATTATTTATGTATTTATTTATCAATCAGTCAACAAGCATTTGTTAAATTCTTTTCTTGTGCCAGGTGTATTTGACTATGTACTAAATGATAGTAAATTTAAAGAAAAGAAAAACAAACAGTCCCTACCCTTAAGGAGCTCATATTCTAAGTGAAAACAAACCTGAAAAATATCTAGGCACATACAAAATATATACAGGTAAATGAAAGTTAATCTTATAGGGAAAGGCAACACAAGCTGGGGGGACCAGGGACCTTTTCCTACAGAAGATGGTATTTGGATGGAGTCTTAAAATTTTTATTCTTTCTATATTAAAATTTGGATTCCAAATTCTCTCCTTTCCTTTTACAACTTCCTCCCTTACTGAGAAGGCAAGCAAAATTATCAGTTATACATGTGAAATCATGTGAAACATTTCCATATTAGTTATATTACAAAAATAAATAAATAGAGCAAGGAAATTATACTTCAGTTTGCACTCAGAGTTCATCAGTTCTCTCTGTGGAGATGTATAATATTTTTTCATCATGAATCATTTGGAATTGTCTCTGATCATTGTATTGATCAGAATAACCAAATCTTTTACACTTGATCTTGATTACAACATTGCTGTTACTGTGCATAGTGATCTCCTGGTTCTTCTCACTTCACTTAAAAAAAGTTCATATATCTCTTGCCATATATTTTTTTTCCCCCTGAAACCACTGTCCTTAGCATTTCTTATAGCATAATAGTAATTCATTAAAATCACATGCCACATCTTGTTCAACCATTCCCCAATTGATGAGCATCCCCTCAACGTCCATTTATTTGCTACCACAAGAAGAGTGGCTATAATTATTATTGTACACATAGGTCCTTTTCCTCCTTTTCCTTCTTCTTAGATCTCTTTTGGGTACAAAGCTAGTAGTGGTATTGCTAGGACAAAGATTAGTCCTTTGAGCATAGTTCCAAATTGTTCTGTAGAATGGTTGGATCAGTTCACAACTCTACCAACAGTTTATTAGTGTACCTATTTTTCCTCATCCCCTCCAGCATTTGTCATTTCTGATAGGTGTGAGGTGGAACCTCAGAGTTGTTTGAATTTGCATTTCTCTAATCAGTAGTGATTTGGAGCATTTTTTTCATGTGACTATGGATACTTTTATTTTTTTCTTTTGAAAACTGACTTCGTGCTCTTTGACCATTTATCAATTTGGGAATGGCTTTTATTTTTATCAGTTTAATTCAGTTCCATATATATTTGAGAAATGAAGCCTTGGTCAGAGAAACTTACTGTAAAATTTTTTGATTTATTTCAGTATCTTTTAGTAAAATGTAGTTTCCCTAACATCTCTTTTAATTAGGTCTATTTTTGCTTTTGATTTGTCTGAGATCATGAGTGAGATTCCTGCCCTTTTTTTACTTCAGCTGAAGCATAGTAGATTTTTCTCCAGTCCTTTATTTTAATTCTTCTGTTTCGAGTTGTCTCTTGTACACAACATATTATTGGAATCTGGTTTATAATCCATTCTGCTATCTGCTTCCATTTTATGGGTTAGCACATTCTATTCACATTCATAGTTAGGATTACTAATTATATTTCCCTTTATCACATTTTTTTTTGTTTATCCGTCTCTCTCTTTTTATCCTGTCCCTTCTCAAAAGTCAGTTTTGATTCTGACCACTGCCTCCTTTAGTCTGCTCTCCCTTTTATCAAATCCTGTGTTCTTCCACCGCGCCCCCGCCCCATCTCTTATACCCCTTACTCTCCTATTTCCCTACTGGGTAAGATAGATTTCTGTATATATATTTGTGTGTGTGTGTGTGTGTGTGTGTGTGTGTGTGTGTGTGTATACACACTCTTCCCTCTTTGAACCAATTCCAATGAGAGTGAGGTTCAAGCATTGCCCAACATGCCCCCACTTCCCCCTCCGCTATAAAATCTCTTATTTGTGTGCCTCTTTTATGGTGAGATCTCTTTTACCTCTCCCAGCTTCTTCCAGTGGATCCCTCTTTCTCACCCCTACGTTTTTGGAGGGGGGGAGATCATCCCAACATAATCAAATCACATTCGTGTCCTCTGTCTGTGTAGACTCATTCTTACTGCCCTAATAGTGATAAAAGTTCTTAGGAGTTACTTACATGTATAATGTTCCCATATAGGAATCCAAACAGTTTAACTTGAGTCTCTTATCCTTAATGTTTACCTTTTTATGCTTCTCTTGAGTCTTGTGTTTGAATGCCATGTAGTCTATTCAGTGCTGATCTTTCCATTAGGAATGCTTAAAAGTCTTCTGTTTCATTAAATATCCATTTCTTCCCCCTGAAGTATTAGGCTCAGCTTTGATGGGTAGGTGATTTCTTGGTTATAATCCAAACTTCTTTGCCTTTAAAAATATCATATTAAAGAAGCTCAGCCTGTTTAAATG